GACTGTTTGACAGCTGTGGTCAGACATCTCTACAGGGTTGAGCTTGCTCATTAGTGCCACATTAACCTTAACTTTGCCTCAGGCCATTAACTAGCAAACTGCACATTTGACCTTTGTTCTACAGATATTTTCAAACAGTGGGCAAGGTACTGCTTTTAATTTGGGTTCTGTATTATGTGTGGACTGACTTTATGGGTAAGAGAAAAAAATCAATACATGTCATTAAATAAAGAAACATGTGGTTGGAGACATTACACAGAGGAAAGCTCCATTTGGAAATGTGATTCTTTTCCAATATTTTCCCAGATAATTAGCTTTGGTCCAAATTAGAAATAGTGCCTACTGTCTCCAGTAGAAAAGATGGAGATGATATACAACACATGGCAATATATAAATGGCTTAAAGGGAACAACCTGCCACAAGATAAGGATAGTGGAATAAAACTTTATTTTTAGAAATGCCTAATCAAATGCAATGCAAACCCAAATGTAAATTAGAGTCACATGGTTAAAGGCACGTGGTTCTCTAGACGAACAAAGTTTAACTTTATTTGGGCACCATTCTTCACACCCAATGTATGAGGCATATGTCAAACTTATAATTTAATTTAGTTTAATAAAGTATTTTATTATAATGTACGTGTGACTATATACAATTTATAAAATACTGTACCACTGTTTATACTTAAGTGTGATATATATTTGTGGAGTTTCAGGGGTTCATGTTACCCAGTTAAGTGTGGGAATAGCTTGGTACCAATTTTGTAGAACTAAATTATCCATATATACTGCCTTTCTAATGTTCCCCCCTCTGTCTGAGTGCTTGTTAATATCCATGTGGTGAAAGTTGGGAAAGGGTAAACATCAGCCTGTCAAGGTCAACTTTGCGTATGCCAGGAGGGGTGCAACACTACAAAGAAACTCATTCACTTGATCTTCAGATAAAAACCTTTGAATTATTTTATTGCTCAGTGAAAGATGTTGCTTTTGTTATTAAAGGCAATTACTGTATTATGCCCCGTTGAAAGTGTTATTCTATTTTATAGTAGTAACTGAGCATGACCACGTCAACACACCACGAAAAACAATTCAGAGATGGGTTGCATTTCCTTTTATATATTTTAGTATGTGATGTATCAGGAGACTCTTCTGGTACTGTTGGCCTCAAGGGCATGAAAAGCAATGAAGCAATAACTATGCTAGTCCATGTTTCTCCCCTGTCTTCAGTAAGCTCAGGGCAAACAAGGCCGCAGGCTATGAATGAGCAATTGTGTTATAGACCTTTTCTTTACTGAGCCAGCACTGCACAAGTCTGGTCGTTAGCTAGTGATTAGAATTTCCTCTGCTCTGTGCTTCCTTGGCTGCACATTTCAGATATATAGGTGTGTCACATATATTATTCCTATCTCAACATTCCTATCTGAACATACTACATTCTCAGTGCAGATTTTCACAAAGACAACACATCTGTTTTCTATCATAGAAACATACATATAAGTGATATTTTGCTTTCTTAATGTGATAATATCCATAAATTATTGGAACTATAGAAGTACTCCCCTACTTAATATTTTAAAATTTTGATTTTTAAAACCTTTAACTTTATTTCTAACATTGATAATTGATATTTCATATATGCTGTTGTGGAAGAGGCCAAAGGAGATCCTGGGGTTGATTCTTCCCTACCAAGTGTGCCTCTGGATTGAACTCAAGTCATCAGTTTTGCTGGCAGGGGCCTTTACCAGCTAAGCCAACTCAACAATCCTCCCTGTATAGTTTAAGTTTTTTCCCATGTGATGACATCATATAGATAGGAGAGGGAGCTACTCAAATGCCATGGCTTCTTCAGGTTCTTTCTAATTCATAATGAGGGCATCTGTGATGGAATGCTATAGGATCTTAATACACAGTGAGGCTAAATATTAATGGGTTATTATATTTCAATGTAGTTCATTTCCTGGGATTGCTACTGAGTTAGTAATCTTGACATTTAGACATCTAACATTTTGATAGACTATACTATGAGCATACACTGATTCTTCACGATCGAGAAGTAGGTCCTATGGTTTAAAGAATTCTAAGGGTTTTAAGGGATCTTTTCAAAAAAGAATATAGTACTAATTTTCAATTCTGGAAACTAGTAAAAACCATGACATCACCTAGGGCTAATTTACCAAGCATTTGAGGATCTGTTGGGTGTTAATGCTGATCAAACCCTCAGAACAAATGAAGGACAAGGAAGAGCTTTTGCTGTGAGAGGGGACATCATCCATCAGAGGGGGCATATTTATAAGTAGGAACAATTGTAGGTTAGGCCTATTAAGAACACATGGGTGAGAATCAGAAAGAACCCATAGATGCTGCATGGATCGATGATGAAGGGAGGTGGAACCAATGGCATTTTGAAGAATGGCTAGATGGATAGTGATGTCAAAGGCAAAGCTAAATAGAGAAAATGAACATGCTAAGCATAAATTTTGTTCATGCAATGCAGATATATTTTATGCAATGGTTCAATAAAAATGTGAATTTTGGCTGGAGTGTGTGACCAGAAGCAAGAATAGTTGGCATGGAAAGACGTTACAGGGTGGAATGGAAAGAGGCTGTGGCCATCATAAGACATTCTTATCTATATTACTTTGTATTTAAAATCATCAAAAATGGTATTCATGACTTTCCAATGCTGCTTCTCAGTTTAGCTTAGAAAATGAATTGAAGGGAAAGAGAAAGGGCAAAATTAGGAGGCAAAGCCCATCTGTTAAGTTTGAAGTCTGAAGAATTTATCCATTTTTATATGGACCTGATAGATGGTGCTTTAAATAAATGCTCAGACAGAGTACACTTTCCCATATCCTTTTAAATATTGCAATTCAATTGCTCATATGAATTATATATGATTTCTATATTTTAGTGATGTTTCCAGGCCAAGATAAAAAATTGACATGAGTAACGTAACTACTGAAGGATAATTAGCAAGAGCTTTTAACTTTTTTCATGCATGTATCATGCTTCCAAATTTAAAAGATAATATCTTCATGATGATAGAAAAGTAAATATATGGATTAGTCACACCCATAGCACATATATGTGCAGGTGTATATATATACACAGTAGGTCTATATTGCCATTAGGCAATTTGTAACATGTTGCTCACAGATCCCATTTAAAATGTTCAGGACCTCAATCTACCAGCATGAACCAGGAAGTTTTCTCTTAAAGAAGCCGTGCAGGTTCTGCTGCTTATCCTGAATCAGGAAGCCTTATTTTTAAGGAGCCGCACCTCTGCTCACCGCCAGCAAACAGAGACTATCTGAAAAATATGCTTCACTCTGTTCTTTTGTGTCTAAAATTCCTTCCCAAGATCTCACTTTTTATGTGGATGTAGTTGCCCCACAATGGCGCCATTTATAGACAAAGACTGTTTGTTTGTTTCCCAGCTGCCCAGTGCAGAATAGTTACAGAGAAGTTATATTAGTTACAACACTGTTTGACCAACAGCTCAGGAATATTTCTAGCTAACTCTTACTCTGCTAAGCCATTGGCTGAAACAGCTTTATTCACCAACCAATAAAAGCAATGTATATACAGAAGGACATCCCACATTACCAGTAGCTGCACTAGCTTGCCATAGAGACCAGGCAATAGTGGAGCATGCCCTTAATTTCAGAACTGGAGATGAGGATAAGATTGGAGGAGACAACTTGCACAGTTTCCTTCTGAGATTTTTGGAGGCAGGATCTTCAGTTTTGACTGAGGTAGAGATAAGAGCCAGTGGCTGGCTATTTTGCTTTTTTTTTTTTTAAAAAAAAAATTTTATTTGTTATGTATACAGTATTCTGTTTGCATGTGTGTCTGCAGGCCAGAAGAGGGTGCCAGATCCCATTATAGATGGTTGTGAGCCACCATGTGGTTGCTGGGAATTGAACTCATCATCTTTGGAAGAGCAGACAGTGCTCTTAACCTCTGAGCCATCTCTCCAGCCCCCTATTTTACTTTTTTGACCTTCAGGTTGAACCCTAATTTCTGTCTCTGAGCTTTTATTAATCATGCATCACAAATACACAGGACATCTGAAAGTTCTCCGCCACTTTAGGTGTTGATAGTTTTTTTTTTTTTTTCTTCCTGAAGCCAGAGCTCTCTGATTCTGGCAATTCCAACTCTCCAGCTAACTGCTGAGATATTTTGTCTCTTCTTCCTGTATACTTAGATTACAAGTGTCCACCACATCTGCCTAGTTTTCATAAACTGTGCTTATCTGAACATTGGCATTTGAATTTGAAAAGCAAACTTTCTTTGTTCTTCTAGGTCCTGGTTTTAAAACTCAAAAGTCATTGCTTTCTAAGCAAAAAAATGCAAAATTCTTCATTATCATTGAATTTTCCCTTGTATAATCCTCAGGGGCAGGAGAAATAGAATGTGAATATATAAAAAAGCAAACCTTAGTTGATATACTAAACATTCTTCACTCTATTAAATTTTACTGTAGTACTTCTGGAATATTTTATATCTAGGGCTTAAAGTCATGTATAATAAAAACTTACTACTTTGTATTCCTTGTTACCAAAAACTCAGAAACATAAGTTGAATAAACCTTTATTCAGGAGGCAATTCATTAGCATGTTGTAAGCCTGATGTTTTCCATATAGGATAGAAAATATTTTGTGTTTCTGTATTTAGACACAGTGACTTGGGAAGGATTTAGGGAGACGGAAGTGGTGTGTGTGTGTATGTGTGTGTGTGTGTGTGTGTGTGTGTGTGTGTGTTTACATGGTATTCAAAACCTTTTGTCTTTAAAATAAGACTCATAGCCAGTAAAATTTTTTATTCAGAAAACAAGTGTAGATATTAAGATGGCATTCTTCTATAAAATAACTTTCCTGGTTGTTAGAAAGATGTCTTAAATATATAAAAATTAGTAAAATATAGTATTCTATAAGGAGTTTGTAGTAATTTTTATGTGGATCCTCTCTATGGGTTAATGTTATCTTTTTTTCCACTCAGAGAATTCATCAACAGCCTTAGACTGCACAGGTCTTTCTATGGTGGCCTGGCTGATCAGATTTGCATCACTGAATTAGCTGCTGCTGAAGGACGGCCCTGCTGGAATGGGGAGGATGTAGTGAAAAGGTAAGTTCTGTGTAGAATTCCTTTCCTTCCTCACTTTCTTCTGGTGGAGCTGAATAGATGCATAACTGTTTGCACTTTAACACACAGGTTAGTCAGACCTTTTCAGAGTCTCTGATTATTCTGATCCTTCTTATTATTTCACTCTGAGGGCACTCTGTGTTGATTTAAAGCTTTCATCATGTCCACCTGTCTCCAACTCACACACAACCCCAACCTCAAAACTGCTAGCTCCTGTCTAGTTGTTTTTATTAAGTATCTTTTTTTTAACTTCATGAATATTAGATTGTGAGAAAACTCACTGAAACTTCACTACTCATCCAAAAATAAGATTGAGAGGGGAAAAAACAGTATTTCTAAATCGTAAGATGAAATACACTTTCCACTCACACACTCCTGCTTGTTATTTTTATTTATTTTTTGTAAAAAGTAAAAATTCACTTCATAAGAAGTGCTATTAATAGTTTTCAGTTTCTAATTCAGATCTTCATAACAGTTTGGTGACATGTGTTAAAGCACTAATAGATGTTTTAATGTTGAACTCCTGAATTGTCTTAATAGCATTTCTATAAAATATTGTGTCCAAATGACTGATATTTTAAACTAATTTTGTTTTTTAGAAAAAAATGTAGCAATATCCCCAGTGAAAAGCTGTATGTGTATTTTGCTTTAGACATTTATTTTAAACATATACCATTACTTAAAAAAATGCCATTCAATTTTGAGAAGATTGAAACCAAGTGGATGTGTGTCATATTTAGGGGTGAAGACTATTATCCTCTTCATGGTAGGTTATAATACCATCACGTTCATCCTGAGGAAATTATGCCAAATACATCAACACACTAAATTGGTTGCCAAGATTGATTTTTATCATTCGTTATCAGACTGGAGTGATTATGTTGGCAATGTTTCTTCTGCAGCCATTTGTTAGGAGGTGACTGATAAGATTATTTATGTGCACAGCTGTGCTGCTTCACAGGTTCGTCAGAGAGATGCTTCTGTATCAGTTGCTTACCCAGTCTGCAAAACTGGGTAAAAACAGGAGACCTGGAGTACCTTGTGAATGAAAGAGAAAAATGTCTCAAATATCTGTAGCGTAAGGAGAGTTTTGCCTGTGTAACAAAGTCTATTTTAATTTCAGTATTTTTAACAGCAGCCTTCCTGGCATACACTCCACTATAACACTGAGGTCAAGAGGTCAAGTTTCTGATTTTAGATGAAATTGAGCTGCTGCTGCAATCTCTAATCTGCATCTCTGAAGGTCCATCTTCTGTAGCATGCTTTCATTATCTTGAAACAAAATTGTTCTCCGAAGGCATACCAGTCCCTACTCTGTCCTCAGTTATCTGTGATTGTAAATTGATCGTCCAATGGTTCACTTCCCTCTGGGCAGTGAAGTTTAGGTGACAGCCCCTTAATTAGCAGGGCTTGCTTTTAATAGACAGAAAATCTAGTAACTCTCCCTTGATATCCAGGAATTCAGCATCTCTACATTAGCCCTTGAAACAGCCAGGAGCTGTTAACTACTCTAGTAAAATTAATAAGCCACATTATTTCTACTTTATCTTGATTTAGTTAATGTTCCCTAATGCTTCTGGCACAATCCTTTTTTTTTCTCTCTCTAGTTCTTATGTTAAGTCGATCATTTCCTTAAATGATTATGACCAAGTTTTTAAAATCAAATAAAAATAGACTATTGTTAGCACTCTTAACTTTGTACTTAGCTTATTATCATTTTTTATTTCAACCAGGATTCTTTTCTCGGCAGTAATTTCTTTTCTTTACTTCGTCCATCGACTAACAGGAAAGCTATTTTGCTTTTAATCTTTTGTTATTTCTGTTCCTATAGTGTTTAATTGTATTTCATCTATTTTTATAAAGCAAATGGTCTAGTTCTCATGTTAGGATCTTCATTTGAAGCCAAACAGTTCTCCAGTGCTCAGAATGGATTCATGGAGTGACCACTGGCATTTCCTGCAAACTGTTTTTAGATTACAGTATTTCTTGTGACTTGATCCCTGACTGCTGCCAGTTGCTGTCCACTGTTCATGACACATGTCCTGTTATGTTTGTAAATATTTCCAAAACACACTTTTACTTTAATTTTTTTTTACTTTCATTTTTAAAATGTTGCAAAAATAAAATTTCATGCACCAAAATTAACCAGATGAAAAACTGTACAACTCAGTGAACTTAGAGTAGCCATTCAGAATGGATACTGGGAAGTTTCATTTCTGATTATATACTTGACTATGGAATATATTTTATGAACTTACTCATCACTAAAAATGAAAATTCCTGCATGCAGTCCTTCCTCGCCCCTAGCCTATACCCATAATTTTTTTTGTACTCACACCAAATATAATTGGTTGAGAAGTAGAGGGTGTTCAAAAATGTAATTTGTGGGCTTATTCATCTCAGGAATCTACTATAGAGTGTAAAATCTCCACTATTAAAATGAGTAGTTTCCAGCTAAATTATTTTCTCCAGGCAACTACATATACCACTTAGCCAAACTCCTACTTTCATTTCATGTTTTAGTAGAATGAACTCCTTGTGTGTTAGACTCCCAATTTACTATACTAGCTACAAAGTTTTTACATTTATATATCACATCGTCTTTCTTCTGTTCTAATTCCTTTTAGAGTAAATCCATTTTATTAAAGAAGGGTAAATGATTAATATCATTGAGTACACATGAGTGATTTTCAGAAGATAACAGAACTATAGGGAAATTAAGTCCATAAGACAGTGGTTCTCAACCTTCCTATGCTGTGACCATTTAATATAGTTCCTCCTGTTGTGAGTACTCCCAGGCATAAAATTATTTTCATTACTACATCTTAACTGTAACTTTGCTACTGTTATGAATTGTAATGTCAATATCTGTTTTCTGATGGTCTTAGGTGAACCCTGTGAAAGAGTTGTTTGTGCCTCAAAGGAATCTCAGATCACAGATTGAGAACCACAGCAATAAGTGGTACTGCACATTCGTATTTAGACTGGGAAATAATCTTGATGATAGGCGGTTGACAGTAGGTTCTTAAGTGAAGCTGAACACCTGACAGTGCAGAAGAAGAGGTATAGATCCTAAAATTTCCACCTGTCTCTAACTCTGGATGCTGTTCTCATTTTTCTCCAGTTTAACAGTAGGATTATGAGTATTTCCTGGAATATATTTAATTAATATTGTGAAACTGAACTCCAGACAGCTCTTCTAATCTCAGATGTGTTGGGCTAAAACATATTAGTCAGCATCATCCCAGCAAAGAGATGAGGGTGTAGTGTTGGGGATGTATAAAAAATGCAAATGCTTGTATAATGACAAACGTATGAACTCACATGATGGAAAGGTAGCTTAATGGTTAAGGGCAGTTACTAATCTTCCTGAGGACCCAGGTCCAGTGCCCAGAACCTGCATTGCAGTTCACAACAGTCTGTAACTCTAGCTCTAGAGGGATCCTTTCTTCTGGCCTCCAAGGTAAAAATGTGGTGACATACATACATGAAAGCAAACACTCTTAAAAATAAAAAGTAGTAAACCTTGAAAAAAATGTTAAGTCAGGATGTATAACATTTTGTAAGGGGAGAATTGAGACAGGCCCCTTCTTGAATCATGGAAATGAAATACGCTATTTGTATATTTATCACATGAGGAGTCTATATTCTGAGTCCTTACTGGATGCATATAGGTGTATCTGATATGTAAATTTGCAACAAATATGGAATAAATTTGTAGCACACTCAGCTGTGGACTCTCTCACATAACAACTAGCTTCTAGCTGTGTTAGCTTGAATTCTTTCTGACCAGAATTTTATTTTTCTTTAAACTGTAGTCTCTGGAGTGATCATTCAATTGTTTAAGAGTTCATAGCAGGCCGGGCGTTGGTGGCACACACCTTTAATCCCAGCACTGGGGAGGCAGAGGCAGGCGGATCTCTGGGAGTTCGAGGCCAGCCTGGTCTACAAGAGCTAGTTCCGGGACAAGCACCAAAGCTACAGAGAAACCCTGTCATGAAAAACCAAAAAAAAAAAAAAAAAAAAAAAAAGAGTTCACAGCAAATACCAACGGATATTCTGGGGACCTTGCTGACTTGATAACCAGTTGTCTTTTTAAGGGTACATCATTATTCTCAGAGCTGCTCTTTTCCAGGCAAAAGTATAAACTGTAGTAATAAATCCACTAGAAATCTTTTCATAAATAAAATCATGACCAATTTTAGGGTCGTTTGAATCATTGTGGTACCAATAGTATGCTTGGTTATCAGTTTTATAAGTAGTGTAAATTGTACATTGGAAGCACCCAGCACTACTTAATATTTGAAAATCTAAAATGCATTCAATGTGTTTGTTTATACTCTTTCCCAGTTAAGCTCTGGTTGAATCTAGGAGACATGTAGTGGGTGTGAACAATTTCTACACTGTGTGTCAACCCTGAAAGGTACTAATTCAACTTCTAACTCTCCATATCTACCTGAGAGTTTTGGAGTTGGGAAATTTTAGTATGAAAAGGTGTCATAAAAATATTAAAAGACTACCTTCTGTGACTGATTATATTTATGATATTTTTACTGATGCCCCTGGCTGGCAAGAATTTAAACTTGAAAAGTGTCTCAGTGTGTTCAAGGCAATGCCTCCCCTCATTTCTCTATCTCACAGTGTGTCTCTTTGTGCTCAGACGATTATAAGGTTTCTCTTCTTCCACATGACCTGCCATAGAAACCACGGAATCCTTTCCTCACCACCTCTGGTTTTGGTGGGAGTCTAGTCTGACTTGTATTTCTTTCTCTGTCACTAGGTGGGCTTCCACTGCATGTGTTAACAATGAGGCTTTTATACCTTCCCACTTGTAGGGAACCCTTACTTGAGTCTTTCACTTAGGATGAAGAAATAGGGAAATGCCATAGTATTCTAACATTTCCTCAAAGAAATATTCTCATGTGGTTCTTTTAGCCTAAAATTTTGTATAATTAAGGTGATGTCAAGCTATGGGACCAAAG